CTGCAAATAGAAATAGAATGACTGTGGCAAAAGAAAGCAAAGATAGTATCAATCAGTAATAGGCACCTTGGGTGCAATCCCAAAACATCTAGAGCACCACTTGAACACCATAAGCATTGACTAAATCTTCATCAGTCAATTGCAAAAGGCAGCTTTACTTGGAACAGCTTACATCCTGCAACGACCTTTAACACCATCAAGCAACAACCTTGGGAAGGATTTGAGAAATGGATAAAAATGCCAAATCCAGTCTAAACATCTGGCTGACTGTGCAACCAACAATAATAATAATGCTGCCTCACTCTCAACAATTCTGGGTGGCTCACAACAATCAAAGAAATTACAATAAAATCAATAAAAGAAAAAGATAAAAGATGGTAAGCGCAGTGAAGCAAGGGATCTCATTCTCCCTTATCAAAGGCCTAGGTGAAGAGACAGGTCTTCAAGGCCCTTCTAAACAATAGCAGGGTGGAGGCCATCTGGATCTTGGGGGGAACCTTGTCCCAGAGGGCAGATGCTACTACAGAGAAGGTATATTTCCAAGGACTCAATAGATGACATTGTTTAATTGAAGGAACCCGGAGTGCACCAACCCTGCCGTATGGTTAGACAGCAGTTCAACTAAGGAGTAAGAACGGCCTAATATGAGGCGCATAAGAGATGTATTTCCTTGACACATAAATGGGATGTAATTCTGGTTGCAGTCAAAGAAAAAAATACAGTTGAAGTCCAATTCTTACCTGTGTGTAGACCAAGGGAATACTGATCCAATCATATCCATAAAGACGTCCACACTGGCTGCGCAACGTGTTCATTTCCTGGTGGAAGGAAGGACAAGTACCATTAGATTTTTTATCCATGTGCCTGATCAGCAGTCTCTGAAAAATGTGTTACCAAGGGGTTTTTATTTAGATCAGGCTGTTTTGGCCCTAGGAGAGAATAAGAGTGAACACAGTCAACAGTTTTTTTCCACAAGAATTTTTTCTTTCCAGTTTAGAATTGGAAAGTTATAGTAAGACCTTGATAACTTCTCTACATTGATCCTCCTGATTCTATATTACCTGTCATTCTATCCATTCTTGATAGTCTATGGCAGAGTTTCTCAACCTCAGCAACTTTAAGATGTGTGGACCTCAACTCCCAGAATTCCCAGGCTGGCGGGGGAATTCTGGTGTTGAAGTCCACATATCTTAAAGTTGCTGAGCTTGAGAAACACTGCTCTATGGCAACCTTTCCCACCACAGTGCTATCAAGATTAATAGTGTTACTTCTTCTACAACCTATAGTCAGCAGGTCCAATGGCTGAAATGATGAATATTGCAATACGATGATAGAGCTGGATAGAGATTTAGATTCAGTGGAGATTCAGAACATGCCCTGAAACCAAATGTGTTTTTTCCCAGGAGTGAAATGCAAGCCCAGTAAAAGATGGAGCTTCTTTAAGGAATCACTGATAATTGCTCTGTGAGTGCCCCCAAATAGTCCAAATTACCTTTTCTCTCCCGAATCTAAACTGCTATACAGCCTTACCTGACAACATTAGGAGGCCTCTAATGTTATTAGACAGGAGAAAGCTGAACTATAACAACTGTTTTGCTGGTGCTTTTCCCCTGATAGAAGCTAAAAATGGTCAGTGAATGAACTCAAAGCATGACACACCCGGTATATATATAACTCACATTCAAGATGCCTTGGAGGAGCACACTGTCACGGATTCGTCCATCATTACGTGCCTTCACTGCCAAGTTTGAGAACCACACACATGGGATCCAAAACTTGTTATGGGCTGAATTTAAACTCTCAAACTTCTTGTGCTCTTCTGGTGTCATCAGGCCTACATAGATGGAAAGGAAGAGGTGATAGAAAGGATAGTTAAGGGATTCTGCTGTTTGTAGACTTAGCTAGTTTCTATTTTGAAGAATGAATGTATCAGTAAGCTTTGAAACCATTTTGTGTTTGAGTTCCATGACTGAAATTCCTGAATGTGTAAAGACATATTCTAGGAGGAAAACTTTGGAAGAAGCAATTTGTTTATTCCTGGAAAGTGGGAATCTAATCTGAAGAAGGACTAGTAAAACATCTCTTTATAACTTAAACAGAAAGAGATTTTATTGTAGGAAATACATGGAGGTCAGGCTAAAGCCTAACTCCAAGTTAAGAATATCCTTTCAAGTGAGAATCAAGAGAGCAACTATGCTTGAAAAATAAAGGCAGGAAGAAGTTAGAAAGCTCATGGGCAAAGTACAGTAAGAGCTAAAGAAAGAACACCGAGGAAATTCTTAATTCTTTATTTATACCCTACTGTACCTAGTGGTTGGTAGGTTGTGAGCTGCTGAAAGTCAATACAACTGAAGTCACACTCGCAGTATCCCTTCTCCTAGGCTCTAGACTCATGCATTACTCTACCACTCCCATCATCTCTCAAAGTGATCTGAGTCAACCTCTGAACAAAAGCTTAGTGAATCCATCTGCCATCATCTCTGCCAATGGGCAGTATTTCAGTTCCACAAGTCCCCTTTCTTGTGTATCTCACATATGTGTCTCTTTGTTTTGTCCTGGATTTATCTGTGTTCATCTGGGAGAGTGAATACATTCCTGATTGTGTTCAGACAATACTGTTCGCTTTGGTTACTCTACTCCATAAATAGTTTATGTAGCCATACAGTTTCTTAGCACACTTGTGCTGCTTGATGTGTATTCTACTTTTGTGGATGACAGAGCATCAACTGACTCTTTCAGCTTGGCCAGCTGATTGGCCCACTTCCACTGAGGAACAGCTATCCAGTTGTAAACTTACAGCCTGTTCTGTCTTTTGTTCTGTTTGCATCTAGGTAGTCTACTACAAGAGTTGACTGAGCTAGTAAACTGAGTACTAGGTATGCTGTACCTTTGGGTACCTGCCCACCCTCTTGCTGTTAAAGTTATAAAGAGCTAATTCATTAGAACCTTGCTCAGATCAGATTCTCATTCTCCAGGAAGATACGGATCACTTCCTCAGAAGCAGAAGCAGAACTTCAATCCTGGAAATGAAACAAGGTACGCAGGAAGGATGAGTTTAGGATATGTATAATAAGCCCGGTGTTTTCAAGTATGTGGAAAAGAAAGCACAGGAAAACTGACCTAGCACAAAGAAAGAATGTGTATTTCTGTATATCCTGTACACTGCATTCCAAGTAGAGTAGAATCCTGCTACTTCATAAAATATGTAAAATCAGACAATTTTGCATATATTTACTACATTTTGCATAATTTCTATGGGCTAGGAAGATAGAAGTTGTGCACATTCCAGAAATGCTACTTCCTTCCTTTTCTTGACATTGCCTGTTTCAACTTAGTTTACCTAGTTTTGCTACTGTAATGATAAGATACTTGGTTTTTTATTTCAATGGAAAGCTGAGTTTCTCAGAGTACAGAATTCTCTATCTTCTACTGATTTCTGCTCTTGTAACAAGTTGTTCACAGTTTGATCCTTAATGTGTATGAAACATGGAATGCCGACAATTCGTGTTTGAATTGTTTAGCCAAACTCTGACCTTTCCTTTTGAAAAAGGTTTCTGATTTCTTTCTACATCATTCTCAGGGTGTTTTAGGGTATCTTTGAAACTTCTAATGGTAAGTTTTTATGCTGATTTTATTGTTGTAAGGTAATGAGACTGGGTAATTTGTTTTTTCTTTACTCATCTCTCCATCGACCATAGTTATCCATATTTCCTGATCTTAAAAAAGTCTCACGGGAGGAGTTTTCTAATGATAACTTCCCTTGGGATGTAACTGAAGCTATCAATCTGCTAGAGAGGTGATAAACAGTGAAAAACAGAACATTCGCACACATCCCTTGTCCCTCTTTTAAGCACAAAATCTTCACTCTATGATAATTTCACTGAATTTTTCCTTCAACAATTTTTTTTAAAGTATTTTTTGCAATCTAAAATCAAAATAAACTTTCAACAGAACCCTACTGGATTAGCTCTGTAATCTAATTGCACAGATTGAATCACTTAGGCTGATTCATTCTATTAAGCCACAATGGGATGTGCTTGTTTGGCTTAACGAGATATTTGAATCCAGCTATTGTGGCTTGTAAATTAATGGTTTATGGCATATATGAACCAGATCACTGTAACTTGTTCAACAAGCTCTGGTTAAAACAAATAGCTAAGTTCTGTCAGCCTTGTGAGGTAGTCCAGACAGGAAGCACTCCCAGATGAACTAATTCTACTTTATTGTAAGGTTACATTAACTGAATCTTGCAAGTTTGAAAGTACTTCTCTCCCCTCTCACCTTTACAACCCAAGAAACTAGGGAGGGTCCCTTCTGAGACATTTGCTACACCCACATTCCTACTTCAGGCTCCAACTGTTCCCCTGCCTGTGGGTCTTCCCTCTGTCTCGCAAGGTCATTCTCACATACTATTACAAGTTCAGAACTTGTTCTAAGCCATATGATTTGCTGAATAAACTACAATAGTTGCATTCACACCTTTCACTAAGCCACAACAAAATCCACATTGTGGTTTAGCACAAAGTGTGGATCCACACACAGAAATTTATGATCTATGACCACAGGGTTTGGAGATAAATGGGACTCCCACTCCTGCTTGATCTCTGATGCTACACTCCCACTGAGTCGAAGAAAAAAACCCTGAACTTCCAATTGCCTCAGTTATCCCTGTGCAACTGGACTTCATGAACCGAATTTCAGAGGAAAAAAACTTGAACAGTCTTTTCATTTAAAAAAAACAAACATGTTGTATATTTCTTTTTGCACTAAAACTGAGTTCCTGGTGCCTTAGTGACAAATAATATCGTCAGATTTCAACTGTCTCTTTTGTTAGTTGCTCTTTCATATTTGTCACACTGTTGGGCTCTGTTGAAAAAATAGTTATTTTTAAAAATAAAAGTTTCCAAGCCAAATGGGGGCAGGGAATCACAGCAAAGGGAAATAAAAGGCAGAAATAGAACGAAAAATGGCCACTAGATAGTGCCCCAGTACTAGAAATTGTATTGGAGAAAGACACACACAGAGAATTAATTTCTCTTTTGCTTGTTAATCTGATGCTCATGTATCCATCTTTATAGTATTGGGGCTGTGCTGATGCTTCACTTCATTGAACTTCATGAGACCAGGAAGTCCAATTAAATTCCACTTCTGATAGTGAAGCAGAGTTGCAGATTTGTTTCCTCACTCCTAAAGTGTTTGTGAAGCTAAGCAGCCAACTGGAGAGGCACCAGCTTTATGGATCTATGGTGGAAATGGAGCAAACTATGATTTGCAGAATCACAGAGCCCACCCCCTCCCAGCCATATCAGGTATAGTTCAAATCACAACCCTTGAACTGAATTCACAGCGTATGATTTTCCATGCCCTCCGTCTGCACAAATGATCACTTCTGGTGGGGGAGAAGAACATTTTTCAGTATATCATGAGTTGGATTCTGAAAGGGATTTTTTTCCATTGGACACTGCAGAGCTGCAGTTGAATAGTTTTACATAAGAATTATATAGTTGGAAGGAGGCATTTAGGCCATCAAGTCCAACTACTGTTCTTATTCAAAATTAGCTATACTGTAGAGCAGTGTTTCTCAACTTTGGCAACTGTAAGATATGTGGACTTCAACTCCCAAAATTTTGGGAGTTGAAGTCTACATATCTTAAAGTTGCTAAGGTTGAGAAACACTGCTACAGAGAGTTCAGCTAGATTTATCCCTTAGAATATAAATATGGGGCTCCAGTGGTAGCATTTCTTAAACTGTTCTGTTAATAACATTTCTATGCAGCTCTTCAGTGTAAATATTTATAGGCAGCCTTAGAACAATAAAAATGTATAGGAACAGAATAAGGAAAACTGTAAACTTTAGAACAACAAAGCCGACAGAAATAAAACATTGCAACCAAAATTAAAAATCCTATCTCATACCCACCCAAGCTGATTGTTGGAAGGCACGGGACGGCTTGCTGATGCCACTTCACTGGCTCTGCTGGTAAAGTTACTGCTGCCCCCATTACATCGACCCGTCCCACCCAGTCCGGCAGAGAAGGCATGTTGCGGATCCCGTCAGCGAGAGAATGTCGACTGGCGGGTCCTAGGAGGAGAGCCTTCTCTGCCGTTGCTCCTGCCCTATGGAATACTCTCCCCCCAGAAGTGAGGTGGGCCCCTACCCTCCCAGTTTTTCAGAGGGAATTGAAGACTTGGCTCTGCCAACTTGCGTGGGGTGAGGAAAGTTACAATCAACCCTGGGGATGGCTGGCGCCTTGATGATGCTCTGTGAGTTTATTAACATCTAATTAACATCTGCCTCTTGGAAGTATTATAAAGGAAGTTTGTTTTTAGTATATTTTAATTAACTAATTAATATTTATCTATTT